ACGGGGTGAGTGCGCGCGGGGGGCGGGCCGGGCCGCGTCCTGGAGGGGGGCAGCAAAGGGCCTCCCGAAGTCGGGCTGGGGAGCAGCGCTCCGCGGGCAGTGGCTTGAAGCCGCCCGCTGTCCAGGCCGCCGCGCGGGGGTCGCCCTCACCGGGAGCCCGGCCGGCCCCGAAACCGCCCGCGGGCAGGCTCGGCCGCACGGCTTGGGTCGTTAGAGGAGGGGGAGGAGCCGGGGGTAATAGCCCGGTTTTGCACAACGAGGGATTCACTGGAGCCCTGATCCATAGATACCATTTCCTCGTTGCCTTCCCTGGCCCCTTGCACGGCTACATAAGCAGGTAGAAACAGCCGAGTCGCCGCAGCGATTAAGGGGTTAAGAAGAGACCGGGGCGGGCACCCTAATGGTGGCAGATTGCTGTCATGGATTTCATAGACATTAGGGCTGAAAGGGACCTCGGGAGATCATCGGGTCCAGCCCCCTGCCCACGGGGGAGCAAGTCAGCTGGGGTTAAAGGATCCCAGCAGGATAAGCATCCAAGAGTTTCTTAAAAGTGTCCAGAGCAGGTGCTTGCACCACTTCTGGGGGCTCGGACAGTAAACCTTTTCCTCGTGTCCAGCCTGAAATGGTCTTCCAGCAGTTCGTGACCTCATCATCCCTTGGGGTGCCCTGGTGAACAGACGTTCTCCCAGATCCCTTATGTACTTATAAGGCTGCCACCAAGTCCCTCCTGCACCTTTGCTTCTCCAGGCTGAAGAGTCCCATGCCTCTCGGCCTTTTCTCATAAGGCCTGCCCTCTTGTCCTCTAATCATGTGCATGACTCTCCTCTGGACTCGAGCTTTTCCATGGCTCCCAGAGCTAGAATGCCCTCCTGGTTCAGGCCCTGGGCATATACAATGCAAACTGGGCCCTTTTGGGGTCATGTGGTTCATTTAATTCCCTTCTGAGTCCTGTGCATCTCATCTTCCCTTAAAGCAGCAGGAGTCTCCAGCTCCCTACTACATGGAGATAAATGTTTAATGTACAGTTTCTTACTATAAAAGTTAAGAGTAGTCACTATATACGAATTACATGATTATGCAGAGTAAAATAATCAAAGATTTTTCATGCACACTGCTTGTGCTCATCTACAAAATAAAAAATAGTTCTGCAAAACACTAGTTGGGCACTGGGTGCTTTTACACATGCAGTGAAGCTGCTCTAACGCACTGTAATTACAGCAGGTTGGATGAGGAAACACCTTGAGGGGAGGGAGCTCCAAGAAATTCTCCCCTCAAGAAACCGTGGGTACTGGGCTGTTTTTGCTTGTTGATGTAGCCCTGTGAAGTGCCTGGGGAAGGGGATGAGGAATGGTATATGTGGATCAGGGCTCCAGTGAATCCCTTGTGCAAAACCAGATTTATTTGCATGCTGACCAGGGGCACCTTGTAAGCACCTCTGAGGACCAGCAAATGGGAACCAGCTCAAATAGTATAGGGTATAATGTTAGGAGAATCAAACTAAAGTTGTGGTCCTCTGGTGTTTCAGTCCAACTAAATTGTTTTCTTCAATCAGTGTTTCTCATACAAATGACTCAATTTACACTGGAAAACAGTAGGATTTTGTCAAGCAGAGCTAAATATTTTATAAGGAAGGGTATTAGATGGAAAGAAATTAGGCTAACAAAATCCTATTGAAAGTAATTAGGAGGGATACCTTTTTTACAGATTTTTAAATGACCCAAGATGAGTCTATAATAGGACTCATCTCTTACATGATTTTAAAATTCTACAAAGGATATCAAAGCTATTGCTCTCATTTATATGCATCGCTTTTAGCCTGATTTGTTTTATGCACTTAATTATTTTAAAACTTCTGGTTTTATCCCTACTACATTGTCTAAGACAGAATGAGTGCCAAGGCATACCAAGTGCACTCTAAACTGGTGGTTTACAGCTGGGGTGCCAGTGCATTCGGAAAAGTTACAGAGGGGAAACTTGAGTATGTAATGGTTGAGAAGCATTGCCTTGTTCTGTGCTGGGGTCTGCAGCCTCTCCTCTGGGTGTGCCAAACCTTCCTACTAAGCTATTAAAAATGTCTTTGAATCTGCATTTAGGGTTGCCTCAGTGAGCTGATTTTTTGGGGAGTTTTTGCCTTGTCATTGAATTATACATAAAATTTTAGTGTGTTGATTAAACAATAGCCCTAGACCATTTTCTCCTGAATTTCTTTTCTTTCTGTATCTGCTGCTACAATAAACATGTCTGTTGTTCTGTGGTACTGGTGTCTTTGAGATTTTATTATTTTTTTTCAGGAAAAAATATTAAGTCTCATGTATGGATACAATTGGGTATATAGTCTAATTGCTGGTGTCTTCCAGCTCCCATTCCTAAGCTTTTTCTTCCCACTCACATACATTTAATCTGGAAATATATTGATGCTTATGTTGATTGGGGCATCCTTCTGCAGCTGTTCTCAAGTACACTGGAAACTGAGGCCTCTAGAGCAGCTGGAGGGGGACACTCTGAAATGGTCTCAGTATTGCATTTCTGGGTTTGGATGACCTGAGGTGGAACACACACACGTCTGCAGTCCACTAACTCCTCTTTGGAGTGGCCTGGACATGCAGCACTCCCAGAAAGCAGGTGGGTCCAAGAGCTCTGCAGGGGTGTGTGAATAGGCAGAGGCGGGTGGGGTGACTGCTGCAGTGGCTGTCACTCCAGATGTATGAATTTCCCAGTGCTTGGTATAAGAAGGGCTATATATGGCAGCATTTAAAGCAAGGTGAAACCTGGTCAAGGGGACCCAAGACTAGTGGAGGGACATACAGATGGATGAACCCAAATGTGAGGCAGTGCACTGTGGTGTGGCAATGGGAGGACCACTAAAAGTGGAGCAATTAGGAGTGTATTGGCACAGGCTTAAAGCAAACAAATCCCTGCAAAGTATTGCTGCTTTTTTTTTTACGAATAGGAATATTTATTTAATCTGAGATGCCAGATTAATTCATTTTGAACAGCTCATGCATAGACATGTGATCTGTAATGTGTAGAAATTCTGAAGTTAATCTTGCATGATCTGGAGTTGAACCGCAAGTAGCTGTGCTAGATGCTGGTTGGTGCTTGAGATGAAGTGACTTTGCATGTGTCCATGCATGTTGTGTTTGCTGTGGTACATCTGAGCTGGGTGCAAGTGAGTGTAGTTTCCCAAGAGACAGACTTTCTCTTTTGCACTGAACCTCAGACATTTCCTGACAATGTTGCACCTGGTAGGGGGAAAACATCATTAAATTATGCTAGATAGGGCCAAACAAAGAGGCAGAAGATCAAGCTTGGGCATCAAAAGGATGGAGGGAAAGGGAAGGAAGCTAAAGATCATGTGGCTATTCTTATTAGGCATATGTACATCTTGATACAATACAAAGGAATATTTTTAAATCTGTAACCTCTCTGGAAAAAAGTAGCAAAAGTAAGTTAATATTTGAGGAATAATGGGAAATAGTATCTTTAAATGATATGATGCTTTTCCTGCAGAGTTCCTCTACAAACACGATTGAAAATGGTTTTAAAGCAAGTGACGAGCCCCTTCTTCGAAAAAACCCTCGTCGATTTGTCATCTTCCCTATCCAGTACCCTGATATATGGAAAATGTACAAACAGGCACAAGCATCCTTTTGGACAGCAGAAGAGGTGAGTGATGCAGCTCAGTGAGAAGGAACAATGTTTGTTCCAGGCTGTGGTACCAACAGATTGTCTGTGACCTCAGAAGCATCACTAGGATTTTTTGGGCCTTTATTCACTTGTAAAATGCTTTGAGCACTATGGATGAAAATACTCTCTTTAAGTGCTACTTGTGTGTTTGTTTTCAGGCAGACAAAAGTAATCAGTTACTGCTGTTATAATAGATACTTACTATGAATTGCATTAAGTACTCCTTCCTGCATAATAAAGTTATGTATGTGACTTTAGTTAAATCTGAGAAGTTAAGATAGCTAGTTTTTACTGAAGGTGCTTGATATAGACAGCCCTGGCCACGTGGTTTTTTTCCAACTACAAGCCAAAGATTACAGCAATACACACTTCTCAGCTCTCCCCTCTTCTCGGGCCCCAGGCCTCCCTTATAGGGTGAGTGACCTGTTCAGACTCTGTGCTCTTTTAATCTTCGATGCAAGTCTTCTTATCTGTACCCCATTTTTATTGGTGGCTCTTGTGATTTAGGTCTGATTGTTGGGAAGTGGATCAAAATATCTGTTTGCTTCAATTGCCAGCTCTGGAAAAAATAAATTTCAGTTTTTATTCGCATGCAACCCAGTCCTCTATTCTTTATATTTCTACTTCTGTGGGTTCAGATTTAGACCCTGAATTGCATTTGAGCTTAAGACCAAAGGTGAAATGGCTTTGTCTCACTCCATGTCTCACTCTCTTTAGCTCCTGTAGGTACATAGGAGACTTGCTGAAATGAATTGGGGAATCTAACTGTGAACTCCCTCCACCCCCCAGTTTCTTATTGCTTTCACATCTGGCCTTACTTAACTGCCACTGTAATTCAAAAGCAAAAAGCCCGCTCATGTGAAGGAAGCTGTGGTTTTCTACCCCAGTCAGAATTTGCAGTCTGAGCAGAGGGCAGGCACACAATAATACCTGTATGGTAGACAATAAACATCACAGATTTAAAAAAAAACAAAAAACCCACCTGGGAACTTGACTGTATCCTGGGTTACAAGCTTCTTACAAAAAATGTCACTTATTGCAAGTATAGTTTAAAGATGTATGGAAACTAGCTCTGATTATTGGCATCTATTCAGGCTTTGAAATCCTGACGCCTTAGTAGTGTGTGTGTGTGTGTGTGTGTGTGTGTGTGTGTGTGTG